GAAAACACTATGGAACCAATCTTCTGCAAAAAAGGAAAAAAAGCACAATAAAATTGCAACAAAGAAAATACCCTAAGCATCTGTTCTTCCTCAATTGTCCATGGAACCTTCTTTCTCCTCAACTGTGGAACTGCCATGTGCTGCAGAAAAAGAACATTTTAACACTTAAGATTTCATTTCGAATTAAATCAACTGGATAAATATTTTGTAACAAAAAAAAAAAAAAAACTCTGCATGTTCCAATGAGGAAAAAAATCATTGGAGAAGCATATTAAGGATGCCAAGTGGATCAAAGTAGCCTAATAAAACACACAAGGAAACAGCAGAAATGTTGTAATATCTAATGGAAAGTTATTCATGTATGGAAAACTTACCACTCCCTTTGCTGCCTTCTAAATCTTATGGAATAGTTCAATATATTTAATAACCTCATCATTTTTAGTATCAGAAGTATCCTCTCCATCAAAATTAAGAACAATGGGTTGTTAGTCAAGATTAGTTCCATGTTGTTGTAAAACTTCTTGCGGAATGTCCGGAGTTCCTGCTTTAGCTTGCATCTGATTTAAATGGGCGGTTTCAGTGTTTTGACTAGAGGGGTTGTCATTGTTGTAATCAAGGCCATCTGAAAAAGGCTGGGCCAGCTCTCTCTCAGATAGGCTCTTCTTTACCACCACTTCTTTGCTTTCCTTTCCCAAAGTTGGGATGCATAATGTTCTACTGTGAACATTTGTCTCATCTTCCAGACATGGAGTGTTAACATCTCTACATGAAATAGAAGTCGAACTAATAAACTCATCACTTCCAGTATCAGAGGTCACCTCCCCATCACAATCATGAACAATGGGTTGCTGGTCAGGATTAGTTATATGTTGTTGTAGAACTTCTTTCTGAATTCTTTCTTCATCTTCTTTGTGATTTACTACATGGGTAGTTTCAGTGTTTTCACTGGATGCATTGTCAATGTTGTAGTCAGGGCTGTCTGATAGTTGGGCCCCTTGCTTTTCAGGCTCTCTCTTAGACAGGTTTACCTTTACCACCTTTTCTTTGCCTTCCTTTCCGATCGTAGCGATGCTTACTGTCCCACTGCAAACATTGGACTCGTTTTCCATAGATGGTTTGTTGACATCTATACATGATATGGAAGGCCCTGATTGTTGTTCATTGGCTAGATTTCTTTGAAACTGGCAATCAAAAACTCTATTTTGACTTGTTGTATTTCGTTCTCTCTCTTTCAAATGCCCATTCTTCTGCATTCCGATGCAGTTTGCCTCATGCTTCATACTTTGAGTACTGATATGTCTACACAATGTAGAGGACTCTGGTTGTTGTTTATCAGTACACAACTTTGACACTGACGACTTAGATCTTGTCTGTTTTGACTTCTTGTATTTTGTTCTTTTTCCTTCAAATTCCCACTCTCCTGAATTCTGAGTAAATTTGCCTCATCTCCTACACATAGTCTGTTAACATCTCTGAATGACATTGAGGGCCCTGACTGTTGTTTATCAACTAGACCTCTTTGAAACTGACAATTAGCATCTTATCCATTTCGATTTGTTGGATTTTGCTCTTTCCTATGTCCCTCAATATGTTTCATTGAACAATGCTCAAATACATGAATAAATGCTGATAGTTTCTTCCTTGCCAAACGGTCTTTCTTCTTAGCTTCAAGATACTCTGAAATAGAAAGAGAATACACACAAAAAGGGCAATGGAAGTTTTTGTAATAAAAAGAATTATATCCTGTACAGGTTGTGTTTTCATCAAAGCTTGCGGAGTTGCAATTGTGCTCGATTGAGCATAATAACATCATATGGCACACTTTGATGATATCTTGTTTTCAGAAACTGAAGAAATTAATTATTCATGACTGTAAAAATATGGAATAGCTACTCTCATCTTCGGTAACATGGGATTCAGAAGGGATGATCCAACTCCTCCTTCCAAAATTAAAGAGGTTAGAATTGGGAGACTTGCCCCAAGTGAAGAGCATCTGTAGCAAAAGAGCAGCAATGGTATATGATTCTCTTGAATGGATTATAATTTGGAATTGC